CGAAGCCGAAGGCGGCCAACCCGCGCCAGCCGCCGGGGTAGAACAGCGCCGGCATCCATCCGCAGCGCAGCGCTCGGCGCTTCAAGGCGAACCGATGGCGAGGGCGGCCGGCTCAAACGATGCGGGCGCCTGGTCGCGCTGCAACGACGGGGCCCCCATGCTCTACTTCCACCGGCGACGAAGCACGCATGACATGGAGAGAACAAGGGCTACTTGCCCACTTGCACCGCGGATCAGCGGGATGGCCTGGCCCACCGACGCACCTCGGCAGGATTGCATATGACGCCGCGGGCTCCGCAGTTTGCTAAGGGATCTGCACGCCCATTGAGATATTGGCCGGTATGGGGCTCCATTCAGCGAAGAATGCATGCGCCGCGCGCGTCGGAAGCCACATCTCTGCGCGCGCGCCGCCTCGCGACGCGATCAGGCCCGATCTGCATCTTGCGCTCGTGAGACACGGTGGTTGCCCCAGGGGCGGCGCCGGCGCGAACGTCGCTGTGAGGCGCAGAGCGCGACGCAGGGCGCGCCGCGCGCGCGAGGAACTCAACCAGGATCCCTCTGATCTGAGGCACGGTTGCTGCGCCGCCGTCCGCGGCCGCGAAAGGGTGAACTGCCTGGCCAATCAAGTTCTCATCGCTGGCGTGCCCCTGCCGTTCCATGAGAACGACGTGACCTTTCAACCGCATCGCACAGCGAAGTGCCACGTTGCGACCCAGCTATCCGCAAGCCGCAGGCCCCCCAGCGTCTCCCGCCCATGCGCCGCCAGATCGCGGACCTGCCTCGCGGTCGCGCGAGCCGCGAACCACGGCGCAGAACTGGGGCTTCTCAGCGCCCTGCGACAGGGAGTGCGCGTCGGTTGGCGCGCCCAGGGGCGTTTGCAGCAGCCGCAGCGCGCAGCGCAAATGGTAGCAATGCCGAGATGCCGAGAATGTGGATGCGCGAGGAACGGCGAACGCCCGCGCCGACAGCGCAATCTCGTCTGGCGGCCGCCCGGGCCGCCGGCCACCTCTCGGCCAGCGCGCCCCGCTGTCGCGCAGCCGGCGAGCACTGCGGCCCATTCCGCCCTTCACTATGCGTCCTCTGTAGGGGCAGGCGCCCGCGGAGCGCAGATGCCCGCGTCTGCCCCGGGCCGTCGGCGAGCCGGCCCGCCCGTGCTGTCGGCCGCGGCGAGTCTGGCCCCGAGTCTGGGATTGCTCAGGCAGGCGCCTTGCGCGCGACCGCGACGGCCCGGGCGAGCGCAGGGGGGGGCGCAACCTGGCGCGCGCTGGCCCGCGCCAAAACTTCAACCGCCGCAGCCGCCTGGTCAACGCTGGGCGCTTCGCGCCCAGAACCCAAAACGCAAGATTCTGCCTTGGCCTGCCCGTCGATTTTGGGCTGGATCTTTTAACGGCAGAGGTGGGCGCGACCTCGCCGCGAAGACCCGGTGCCCGCGCCAGCGCGTGGAGGAGCTCGCGCGCCGCAGATCGCACGGCGCGGCTGAGAACGACATGAACGCAGCCGCCAGTCTGGCGCGCGTCAGCGGCCCCAAAACAGCATGGACCAACGCGTGGCATGGCTGTGCAGAGCGGCCAGATCAACCCAGGAGCATCAGCCGAACGCCGTCGTTGCCCCCCAGCCAAGTGCCCCCGTCAATGCGCGGGGGGCTGGCGGCGGGGAGAGCCTGTTCGATGGCGATGTCGATTCAATCTCCGCAACCCACTGCAAGCGCCCACCCCCGGCAGTTCAATTTCAATAAAGTGTTTGCGGAGATCGCCCGCTGTGACGCCGCGGATGAGCGCCGACCTGGCATGCGCGATTGCCCCGGCGTCGTCAAATTGCCGCCCGAGCAGCTCCTGCGCGACGTCGCCCGCGAAAACATGCTGCGCCAGCTGGGCGCGGATGGAAGCGCCTCGCGCGCCCCCGCCGTTTCGTCTCTGAGGAGACGAAGCGTGGCGGGTTCATCGGGGCTGGTTTCCGCGCAGATGGCTTGGCCGACTGCCTCCTTTGCGTTCCGACGCCCAGTTGGCCCCGTTCGCGCGGGGCGCGTGGAAATCGTCAACAGGCTGGACTTTCAGTGCACTCGCGTCCCCCCTTACCTTCCAGCCCTAATCGAGGTCAAAACGGGGCGACAGCACGACGTCGTGAAGCGTGGCGGCAGAGACTTCCATTGTCTATGGGGAGGATACCCCCGCCGCTGTCTGGGCGCGCAGAGCCTGGGCCGCCTCGTCGTCGGCCAGAGTCGGCAAACTGGCCCATTGAATGAGATTCGCCCACGACTCGGAAGGGGGCAGAGGCGCAGCGGGCACGATCGCCAGCAACGTGCCGTTCGGCGGGATGTCTCCCACGAGCCGGAAACCTCCTGTCAACGCGCATCGCTAGCTGAGTGTCTGGCTGCGAGATGCCTTCAGCATCTCTGATCGCAGCAGCAAGCCCTTGTCTTGGCCTAGGGCGGCGCGCGCGTGCTCGGGAGGGGGTTAAGGTCTCCGCTGCCGTTCTGGGTCCTTTATTCATTTGCGTTCGGGCCAGAATGCCAGGCTGAAGCTTGGAAGCGCTGCAGCGCCTCGCGGTCTCAGGCTCCATAAACTTCGAACTCTTGCGGGCAAGGTGGTGGCCGGTATTTTCCCATTCACGGCGGCAGAGACAGCGGCTAGTCCTAATGGACACGCAGGAGAGCCCATGTACATTGCAAGGCGCATGTTCACTTCAGCCTGCAATTCTTGAACATCGGTTGCAAACCTAACCAATTCGTGGCAGCCTTCATCTGGCTCTCCCCGCGCAGCGGGGATCGACTTCAAACATTTGTAGGAATCGCTGGAGGCGCTGTCGGAAACACCTCACGTGGTGTTCCAGTCTGGCACTGCCCCCTTGCCGCTGGCGGCGCTGCCGTTCGGGGCGTTCTTCCTGGGCCCCTGGCCGCTGGCAGGCGACGTGTTCTGGCCAGTTTTCTCTGCCGCTTTCGCGGTCTTGACGATCGGTTTGTTGGCGTTTTTTTTGGGCGTTCCAGAGCCTTGGCATCGCTCGAACGTGTGCATTTTGCGGGGGCGGGGATCATCGAGGAACATCCTGGATCATCTTGCGAGTAATACGCGCGCGATATCGAAACATGTACGGGGAATGAGCGCCCAAGCGATGCCAAGGAGCACGTCTTGGTCCAAGCCGCGCAGCAGGACGTCGAGCTGAGTCGTCGCCTCCGTTTCGTGTGTCCGCGCCAGCTTGCTCTTCAAGAGGAGGTCGTAGTGCGTGCAGTCGCGGGGAGTTGATGTCCCGCCTCCGTCCCCACGGTGGCCTCTTCGGGGCCAGCGTGGGCTTCAGTCGGGCATGTCCCTCTGCAGGAGGAATATTTTAAAGTAGTAGAAAGAATAGTCTGGGGACGATTTGTTGAGCATGTTTTGAATATTTTTGGAGTATGTTGTCTTTTTCGTCCAAAATCCACATGTAGGAGGACATGCCCGACATAAGCGTGGGCCTGATATTTGCTGCCCCGCCTACGCGCCCGGCGGCCTGTGGAGCCCGCCCGGCCGCGAGAGCGCGCGGCGCCCGCCGAGGATGCGCGCCGCCGTTCCCGCGACGGTTACCCGAACCCTGCATGCGACTTTGGGTATCGAAAGATAGCCATCGGGTTGGGAGGATGGGTTGGGGAGAGATGACCAGGTCATCCGTACATTGGAGACCCATGCCAAGAAACACCCTGCTTGCCTCCAGGATGGTGCCCTGGGTTTCTTGGGTTTCGATGGTTTTACGATGAGAAGCCTGACGTCCCCACGCCAAAAGTCAATGGACGTCCTGGGATCTCAGGGTTGGGTTTCTTGTGGAAGGTTTCTTGTGGACTGGCCTCCACTGTACCGAACCCTCAGTGCGACCTCGGATATCTGGGAGGATGGGGTTGGGAGATATGACCAGATCATCCGTATGATCGCGTATGTCGAGCGTGCCTGTTACATAGTCGTGCCCCATATCTTCCCAACCTCATCCTCCCAACCCGATAGCTGTTTACCGGTGGCAGACACGCATGGACGGCCGCAATACGAACAATCGCTAAACAGAGGGACCCCGTCTCAGTTGCAGATTTTCTCCCCTAGCGAAATCCACGATTTTGGGGTAAGAGGATCTAAGTACGTGTAGCGATCTGATGCCGATTGCGTGCCAAGCGGAAATCGGAGCCCTGATTGTGTGTTTAGTGTTCTGGACTGATTGTTGCAAGACGGCACCGCTTCCACTACATGATTTGTGCACGCTTCTGGTTTCTATGCGGTGCTGGCACGGAGAAAATCGGTGAGGGCGCCCAGGCACTTCTTTAACTATGGTGAGGCTAGCCAACGCTACGGTGGCTTAGACGCATCCAGCATGTGCCCAAGCAATCCGCAATATACGGCAGGCTTTGGTGCCGCTATTTGGGCGACACTGCGCGCACACGTATGATATCATGGAGTCGGTGTAGTAGAAACCGCGGGAATGGAATATGGGATCCGACTACTTGGTCAAGCATGCGATGCAGGCGAAGAGCAGTGGGGGCACGCTGACACCGGAAAGCGCTCGACGCTACTCGGCGGGCGCGGTGACCTTGAAGTTTGGGCACACGGGAGATACCACCAGGTATTGGGGGAGCTTTTAGAGTGCACTATTTAGCGAATTCCGGGGGTGATCGAGACGCACGTCGGGGGAGTATCGGATATGTGCATCAATATGTGGAGCAAGCGACTGTTGCCTTTGGAATGGAAGTTTCTTGCATTTACGCGGCCATAGAAGTGCCGCTTTGATCTTTCTCCAAGTCTGCGCCCTATATGAGCTGTGCTGTTTTTACGGTATCGTGCTGCGGCTCGTTTGCACGGAGCTGTGCGCATGTGTGCATAACATTGTTTCACCACCCATGTCCGACCGAGGCTGAGGAGGAAGGAAGATGAGGATAATGGGGTGGATGGGAGGGAGGAGGAGGAGGAGGAAGAGAAGGAGGAGGAGGAGGGGAGGGGGATGATCATGGAGGATGAGGAAGAGGAGGCAGGATGCGGAGGAGGGACACGGAGGTCTCCGTCGGCAAGATCATGCAGTTCGGCAGCGTCACCAAGTGGAACAAGGAGAATCCGCTGAAGGATATCGAGATCGGCGATTTTCCTCCAAATCCTTGTCCTACTCCCCCTCCTGCTCATCTGCCTTCATCCCCTCTTCATCCTTCGAAGATATAGGGTCAATGATTGAGGTCTTTCGATGTTCGGGACAGATTGAGCCCCTGGAGACCTGCTGGGACCTCCAGGGACCTCCACCCCCCATCCCCCTGTCCTCCTCCTCTTCCTCCTCCTCCTCCTCCTCCTCCTCCTCCTCCTCCTCCTCCTCCTCCTCCTCCTCTCCTGCCCCCGCGCACACTTCCGCGTTCGAGCAAAGAGAATCTACGTACTGAAGGAGATTGAGCCTGGCGATCGGATTGTGCAGGTCGAGGATAACGTGTGGAGCAACGACACAAAGCCTTTCATGAAGCGCCTCGGCTTGCAGCTGAAATCGCGGGGCAAGCGAACCATCTCGGTTTTATTCCAGCGGTTCTTCAACGAAACCTCAGACGAAAATGACGATAACGGGGAGCTCGGGGACGGCGACGTCATGGGTGCTGAACAGTAGTCGGTGACGTTTCGTGAGCCGCCCGTTTCGGTACAATCCCTTGTTGCAGTGTTGCTCTCTGCGCTGTTTCTTCTGTGTCCACGAAGGTCGGGTTGGCGTCTGAGCGACCTGGGAAAAGGCATTCGTCGTTGGCATCATTTCCGGCAGCATCGTCATCGCCGCCTGGTGCAGGCTTCGTGATATCGGTCTGCCTGTTGCAGGTAGATCTGTGCTGTAGATTTACCAGCTCGCCCTCGCAGTCCGCGGCACGCCCGCGGGCTCCGCGGCTCGCTCGTGCCCTCGCTCGTGCAGGAACATGCAACATCACTTGACACAGTTTGACATGTTCTTGCAGCGGGCCACTTCGGAAGATCTCGGGCGGACTACAAACATCGGGGGTCGCTTCCACGGAGGGGGGGGAAGACTTCCGATTTCGGAGATTGTGGTGTGAGCTATGCCACCTTTAAGGCCAGCTTGTCGACCACCAGCACCAAGATCAGTGGTCCGGCCCCCCTCTTTGGAGGTGAACCCAGATCTTTCGATTGCCGGTGCAACGTTGTAGGCTTCCCAACGTTGTCCCTGTGCCAGAACAGTTAGCCGTTCTGCAGGTCCTCGGCTTTTGTTTGGTTTGGGTCGCTGCCCTGCAAGGGGCCGATGAAGTGTCAGCTGCCTTGTGCGGAGTGCGGGTTCATGTTCAGCGCTTCTCGCACCAGATTGTAGTGCACAGCGTCGGCGGTTGGGAAGATCAACGATTATCAGATCCAGGCGCCTCCTTTCTCCCCCCGCGCGCGAGCGCGAGCGCGCGCGGGAAGATGATGATCATGATCACGATGATGATGATGATGATGATGATGATGATGATGATGATGATGATGATGATGATGATGATGATGATGATGATGATGATGATGATGCATGATGATGATGATGATGATGGTGCTGGGTGCGGTGCTGGTGCTGGTGTGGGTGAGGCTGAGGCTGAGGCTGAGGCTGAGGCTGAGGCTGAGGCTGAGGCTGAGGCTGAGGCTGAGGCTGAGGCTGAGGCTGAAGCTGAGGCTGAGGCTGAGGATGAGGATGAGGATGAGGATGAGGATTATGATGAGGACGAGGATGAGGATGGGGGTGAGGACGATGATGACGATGATGATACAGATGATGACGTTGCTGACGATGATGATGGCTATGATGATGATGGTGATGATGATGATGATGATCATGATCATGATGATGATGATGGCGATGATGATAGTGATAATGATGATGATGCTGATGCTGCTGATGATGATGATGGTGATGGTGATGGTGATGGTGATGATGCTGATGAGGACAATGATGATGATGCTGATCAGGACGAGAATGAGAGTGATGAGGATGATGGTGATGATGATGCTGATGGTGCCGGTGGTGTTGTTGCTGATGACGATGGTGACGGCAAGGAGAAAGAGGATATGGAAGAAGAGGAAGAGGAGGGATGAGGCTGCGTGTGGAGGTGCATATCTATTTGGTGATTGCAACGCCGATGATGAGGAGGATAATGATTCTGCTGATGATGACTATAATGATGAAGACGGTGCTGGTCGTGATTATGATGACGATACGATGATCATGACGATGATAATGATTATGATGATGGTGATGAGTATGAGGATGTTGATCATGATGATGATGATGACGTTGATGCTGCCTGTGATGATGATGAGGAGGAGGAGGAGGAGGAGGATGATGATGATGATGATGATGATGGTGCTGGTGCTGGTGCTGGTGCTGGTGATCGTGATCGTGTTGATGATGAGGGTGACGACGATGACGATGACGACGACGCTGTTGCCGATGACGACGACAATTATGGTCTAATCTAAAGGCTGCCGCCTCTGCCGCCGACCCCAAATTGAACAATCCGTCTGGCAGGCATCGCTTGATCTGCGGCGTGTTTTTGGGGTGGGGGGGCCGCGGGTGGGCTCCTCGGCCGTTCCTTGGTGCTGGTTCGAGCCTTCTCCCGCGTCACTGCGTGGTTGGTGGGAGTGTGGCTTGGCGCCTGTTGTCTTCTTAGTCGTGAGGGGGATGCTTTTTCTTTATCTAATCGCTTCGCTCATTCCGCCGTCCCTGGAGCGCTATTTGGGGCCTCTTGGGGCCGTCTTGGGGGCTTCTTGGGGGCTTCTTGGGAGCGTCTTGGGGCTCCTTGGCGGCGTCTTGGGCTCCCCTGGGGCCTCGTGGGGGGCTCTTGGGGGCCCCTTGGGGCGGGAGGGGGGGTAGTCGATTGCAGCCACCCCCTCGGAAGCCACGATCCTCGTGAGGGTTGGCGAAAAATAGCTTCCCCCCCTGGGGATCGCCCGGGAACCGGCCGGGACCCGGCCGGGGGTCAGCCGGGGTATTTTTTGTCCGGGGGCCCCCAGGGGCCGCCCCGCGCGCGCGAACTAGAAATATGGTTAAGTAGTTACCGGAGATCTTAGCACGCCTCTGGCCCGTTGGGCCGGCGAATTTTGTGCCGATGTTTTCGTGCGGTTCGGGTTCTTTGGCCTATGTATGTCACCGATTTATGGTCATCACTCCCTGGGCTTGTCGTCTGGCATCCTCGTGTTGCGTTTCTTCCCGTGCCGGCTTCGGACCCCCGTAGGGCGATCCCGATGCGCACGCGCGAGCTTTCTCCACGTGGCGTTGTTTCGCCGTATTCAGGCTGGTGTCCCACCGTGCGGGCGTAGGCATCTACAGTCTTGATCCGTCCGTTTTTCTTGGAGTTGTGCATTCCAGCATGTGCGTTCTGCTTCTGCGCGCAGTGAGCACGCTAGTGCTGGGGCCTCGGCATCGCACCGTCAAGAGACAGGTGGGAAGTTGATCATCGGCTGTCCGCGTCAAGAAGCGCTGGATAAAAGAAGAAGCGCTGGATAAACAAGTTTCTGTGCCTTCATCACCGTAGCAATCAAACACACACTGTGGAACACACGCGCACACTCACACTCACACGCACACACACACAGTGGACACAAACACACACACACACACACTGTGGGAATAAACACGGTGGTAACAAACAAACGCACACAATCGCACACACACGCACGCACACACAGTGGACAAAAGCACACATTGTGGACAAAAAACACGGTGGAAACAAACACACACGCACACACACACACGCACACACGCACACACGCACACACACGCACGCACGTACACACAGTGGACAAAAACACACACACAGTGGACAAAAACACGGTGAAAACACGCACAAGCACACACACGCACACACTGTGTACAAAAAACGCACAGTGGATAAAAAGCACCGTGGAAACAAGCACACACAAACACGCACACACACACACACACATTCACGCACACACACACACACACACGCACACCCACACACGCACACACACAGTGGACAAAAACACGCACTGGAAACAAACACGGTGGAAACACATACTTTCACACACGCACACACAGTGGACAAAAACACAGACTGTGCAAACAAACATTGTGGAAATAAACGCACACACACACGCACACACACACACGCGCACACAGTGGGCAACAACACGCATTGGGAAAAGTGCACGGTGGAAACAAACACACACACAAACACATTCACGCACACACTCACACACATACGCAACTCGACTAAAACACACACTGCGGAGAACAACGGAGGAAACAAACACACACACGCGCACACAGACAGTGAACAAAAACACACACAGTGGAGTACACACGGTGGTAACAAACAAACACACACGCACACACACGCACACGCACACACAGTGGACAACAACAACACATTGTGGACAAAAAACCACGGTGGAAACCAACCCGTACACACACACACACACACACGCAGACGCACACACATGCACGCACGCACGCACGCACACACGCACGCACGCACGCGCACGCCCACGCACACGCACACGCACACGCACGCGCACACGCACACGTACACGCACACGCGCACACACGGCCACACACACGCACACACACGCACACACACGCAACACACACGCAACAAGCACTACACACGCACACACCCGCACACACCCGCACCACCCGCACACACACGCACCACAACACACCACACGCGCACACACACACACACCACGCGCACACACCCCCCCCCCAACGGCGGGGGCCAAACATCACGCACGCGCACACACACCGCGCACACACACCGCACACACACACGCTCACACACACACACACAACCCGCCCACGCACACAAACACGCCACGCACACACGCACCTCACGCACGCACGCCACGCACGCACGCCACACACGCACGCACACACACACACCACAAACAACACGCACGCACACACTCACGCACGCACGCACGCACGCACACACGCCGCACGCACGCACGCACGCACACACGAACCACACGCATACACGCACACAACGCACACACGCACACCCGCACACACGCACACACGCACACACGCAACACG